ATATGCTATTTCACTAGCCCAAATACATTACACAAATCTGTGCATTTTAACAGTTTTTATTGCTTATTGAGAATTTAGGAAGTTCTTATTTATGATACTAGTAATTTTGTTGCATCCATTAACAACAGTGCACAACATGATGAGAAAAATTCAATTACGGGGCAAAAGGAATACCAAAGCATTTCTCCTAGGTACTATAAGCACTTCACTTGGCGTGTATCTTTATTTCTAAAAATGTACAGAAAGTACCAAGTTTTATAAGTGGATAGCTTACCATATTGTGAGGTGAAGTGCCAGTTCTAATAGTGCCATTGCTTGAATGTGTAAGTGGAATGGTAGAAGTTCCCAATATCTCTTGCTTTCGTGCCATCTGAATTTCATTCAGTTGCTTATTTAACCATGTGATTACTATATAGAAAAAGGAGTAAAACTCTAATTTTCAAGCATTTTGTTTTCCATCCTTTTTATTAGTACTATAAATCTAACACAAATTACATCAAGAAATCATGTGAATGATTCTATTTCATGTTATATTAGTGAACAAAACATAATTTTGATGTCCCAGTCTCTTTACCCCTTCCCCTCTGGGCTTCTCATCTGATCTGCCCCCTTCCCCCAAACATTTTCCCCCTAGTTTCAGTACCAGACTCCTTGTCCTGTCCCAATCTGCTCCCTCTACTGCAGGAACAACTCATACCATCTGCATTCAAGTCAGGCAGCAGGATCACAAGCCACAATGGAGTACTGACAGTGTCTGTGCTCTCAGTTCCAGTGTCTGACATCACAGTGGCCTGCAGCAACCAGGAGGATTGCAAGGAAAGTCACGCATGGCCCCTGCTGCCCCCTCCCCCCCACAAAGTCCCATCTCTCAAAGATGCCAGGTCTGATTAACTTTCCCCTTCAACATCTACAGCTAAAGAGGACTTAAAAAAATCAGGTCACCTTAAAGAGCACAGTCATCTTTTAAATTTCCATTATTATAACCGGTTACTTAATTTTTCATAGAACAGCAATAGAGTATTAATTAGAACCCACAAACTATAGGGAGGTAAACATTTAATAATTAGAGACCCCGGAGCTGGATTTAAGTTCATGGAGTTCAATATACTTTGGATTATGCCCCATAAGGAGTAAGACATCTAAAAACATACTAACTTTAAGCATGTAAGCTTTCCCATGGACTTCAATGTAACTGTTTACCTGCTTAAAGTTAAGCATGTGTATTAGTAGGATGCACGATTGGAGCCTATGTTTTCAAAGCATCAATTTGTAACTTAGCTGTGCAATTCTTGTTTTAACTGATGTGGTCATGTAGCTTAAATTTAGAATCACATGTAAACTTTTTCAAATTCTAAACTGTAACACTTAGAAAGTTGTAAGGGAAATTCTGTTTTATGTGAAGAACCACACCAAACAAAATTAGGGCTACTATAATACACAGGAAACATGAACTCAGAGGTTACTAAATTGTTTGATCCTTGTGGGCTGTGGGGTGGCGGGAGCGGAGGGGAACAGCAGGAAATCACAAGTATGCCATGATAGAAATGAGCAAATCTTTCTAGCTTCAAAATGAAATAAAATGTTTTTAATACAAATTTTTACTCCTGAGGGCATTCTGTGCCAAAAAAATTAAGAATTCTGCGCACAGTATTTTAAAATTCTGCAAAATTTTATTTGTCAAATAAATGTGGAGACTCCAGCATGGCATTGGGGAGCACAGACCACTGGCTGCACAGAGGTGGGAGATCACTGTGCAGCTTCCCCAGAGAACATGGACTCAGCGATGAGGCTGCACCCAACCCTGACACAGCACAAGAACAGGGCCTGCCCCAGAAACACCCCAGGTGCACCAGGTGTGGGGCAGGCAGGCTCAGCAAAGCAGGATCCAAGTGTGGAGGGACTTAGTGGCGAGGCAATCCAGGTGTGGGTTGAGAGGGTTCTGTGTGGGCCAATCTGGGTGTAGGCGGCTCAGTGGGGGATCTGGGTGTGAAGGGAGATATAGATGCACAGGGGCTTGTTGGGGGGGTGGGGGGGTTCTGGGTGCAACGGTAATGGGACTCTACAGGGGAACCCAGGTGCGGGTGGTTCCTCAGGGTGATACAGGTGCAGGGGGAGTGGGGTTGTGTGCGGGGCGGGCGAGGCTTAGCAGGAGGGTCTGGGTATGAGGGGGTCTGGATGCACGGGGATTGGGCAGATGAGGGAGCAGCTCCCTGTACAGTGATCCCTTCCCCTGCAGCTGAGGAGCAATGGATGCAGTAAGTGTGGGGGGAGGTGAAGGGGGGGGAGGGTTGTAGAGCTTCCTACAGCCAGGGGAGAAATCTGGGAGTGGGTCTGACACGGCCCCAGTTGCTGTGCAGGGAAAGAGGAAGTCCCGTCCTCCCCAGCCCAGCTGGGACTAGCAGCTGAGCCCGGTGCCAGGTCTTCCCCAGTCCTGCTCCCAGCCCCACAGTGATTCACCTCTCTGCCGGCTGCCCTGAGCACCCAAAACATACTGCTGGGGAGGGTGGCATGACCCCTCTTGTGGCTTCCCAATCAGAAAGTCATTTTTCTGCAGGGAAGCAAAGAAATCTGAGGGGATCATAAATTCTGCACATGCGCAGTGGTGCAGAATTCCCCCACGAGTAACAAAAACAGGGAGACCTAAAGAAGGAATCCTGTAAACCTACCATTTTCATTGGTTTTTAGCAGTTGCTTGCTTTCTTCCAGTTTTTGTACTGTAGTTTCTAACTGTTCTTGCAACTTGCAGACCTGAAATATGTCCATACTAATTACGTCAAGCATAATTAAGAAATGTCAATAATTAAAAACTGAAGAAAATAAGTGTAAATAAATATCAAGGATTTAGAAGTACAGTTGAGCTTAAAGCAACACTGAATGATTATTTAGATTCAAAATTAATCATAGTACAAAAGGGGTGTGACTACACAATGAAAAGATCTTTTTTCTTGGCATTGATTTCAAAGGCACAAGTGTCAGTTGGCATTGGGCAACTATTTATGCCTTTGAAAATCTCTCAACTTTTGCCTGTTTCTGCCCTTCAGAAGTATGTTGATTCATAGCTCTGTACACTCTGTTGTATTCACTGAACGCTTTGTACTCTGTAAATTCTAGCCCTGTACAAATATAGTATCCTCTCTCTATTTGTATTTAAAGGGGTAACAAGGTAAAGAGTTTTCATTGTAGGAGTTAGCAAATCTTTTAACAAAAGCTAACTCGAATAGTAACTGAAAACTGATATGGCCCTGAACCCCGGCTGTCTTTGCTGGAAGTTCTGTCCAGATATGAAGTTTGCAGTTCCAAACCACATTCATGAAGTGTTTGTGTTTTTTTTTTTTTTTTATTTTAAACATGCAAGAGAATCAGAAACTGAACTGACCAGTTTGTTTTCATGCTCAAAACTGAATAAAATACCAAATGCAAACAAAGTATAAAGCATAAACAGTGGGTGAAACTTAGATTTTTTAAAAAAATCTTTCATATTTTATTTAAGTAATACAAGAAAATCTCTCTTTTAAAAAATAACCGTTATTTTTTAATTTGAATGTCTCTTTAGGTCAGAAGCTTATTGATCCAAACATTAAGTTTGTAATTATTTTAGCTATTTTTATTGGACTTCACAATTTGTCAAATTTAGCACAGCTACTAAAATTTGAGAGTTTTGCTTCAACTGGGCTCTCTATTCCCTCTATGCTATAATCAACCAGAAAAATACATTACACTAACATTTGCCAGAATTCTATGTTTCAATAAACCATTTAATAAATGGGTAAAGTCATTCAGTTTTATAGACAGCAATTCAAGGCTAATCCTGCAAACACGTAAACACATGCTTAAAACACATACATAAGTGGTTACAGCACTAAAGTTTAAGATAATGCATTAAGTTACCTCTTGCTCTTTTACTCTAAGAGATTGTCCAGTCTCCTGCAGTTCCCTTTGCTCTTTCTGTAGTTTCTCTTCTTTTTCAGCCAAGAGTTTTTCTTGCTGAATTGTTACTGTATTTTTCAATTTCAATTTACTCATTAGAGTTTTCAAATCTCCTTGTAACTTCTTGATAATTTCGTTAGCCTATTAAACAACATCAAAGTCCTTTCTAAATTAGACAACAATGCATAAAATTAAATGAAGAAATCCCATGATTAGGACAATTTCATGTTTAAACAAACCTTAAGAAGTTCAGCTGATAATGATTTTATTGTTGCTTCAAGTTTTCCTACATGAACTTGTTTCTTCTCTGTATTTTCTTCCAGTATCACCTTCAAAAATCAAAAAGTTTTCCCATTAGCAAGGTTTTGTGCTTCTTAAAAAAGAAAAGCACAATACTTAAATCAGATTTAGATCAAGCTTGTTAAAGTTTGCATTAGAAGGGAGAGGTTTACTCCCCCTGTGCAATCACTGTATTTCTTCGAGATGTGGTCCCTATGAACGCTCCACTTCAGGTGGGCATGCACCTCCAAATTGGAGATTTTAAGCTAGCAGTGCCTGTTTGGCCCATGCATGCGCTCTACTATGCCTAGTACTCTCCAACATGGCTAAATAGATCTGTGCAGGCGACCCACTGTCAATTCCTTCTCTATCACAAAGATCCACAGCAGAGAAATACGAAGCAGACGGCAAGGACGTGGAGAAGTGAAGCACTCATAGGGGGACACATCTCAAAGAACTAGTTACTGAACAGGGTGAGTAATCTCTCCTTCTTTAAATAGTGTCCCTATGGGTGCTCCACTTCAGGTGACTACCAAGCAGTACCCTCTAAGGAGGGGGAAGGGCTTTGGAGTCTAATCCAAAAATCGAAGACAGTACAGTAGAGCCAAACAGCATCGGAAGCTGAGTCACGAATTACTGCAGAATGTTCAGAAAAGCTATGTATGGAGGTCCAAGTTGTGGCTTTACTATATTTCAGCAATGGGAACTTTCTTAAGGTAGGCTATTGAAGTAGAAAGAGGTCTCATTGAATGGGAGTACTCTGGAAAGAGGCTGGAGATGATTGGACTGATAGCAAAACGTAATGCAGACAGATATCCATCTAGAGCAGTGGTTCTCAACTCATGATCCAAACAACACACAGCTGCAGCCCCCGTGACACCCTCAGGGCCACACAGGTAGTATATAGTGTGGATGCAGCCCTCATAACACAGAAAGAGTTGCATATGCTACCCACAATGGCAAATAGGTTGAGAACCAGTGCCCTAGAGAGTCTTTGCTTGGAAACTGGAAATCCCTTAGATCTTCTACAAAAGACACAAACCACCCACGAGATTTTCTAAATGGCTTTGTCCTGTCCAAGTATAAGGCTAATGCCCTCCTCACATCAAAATGTACATAATACCACATCCTCCTTATTCAGGTGTGGATTAGGAAAGAAAACTGGAAGAAGAATAGATTGGTAAACGTGCAAGTCAGATGACAGCTTTAGAATTTGGGATGTGGTTGCAATGTGACCTCGTCCTTGAAGAATACTGCAAAGCAGGGATATGCCATCAGAGTCTCTATCTGCTCAAAGCGTTGAGCAGAAGTAATGATTACCAGGAAGGTTGTTTTCCATAGATAAGTAGAGAACAGGTTGCCGTTGGCTCAAAGACAGGTCTTGTAAAGCATCTAAGACTAAGCTGAGGTCCCAAACAGGGGCAGGATATTTGACTCGTGGACATTTGACTTGCAGTCATCAGATGTGTGTACATTGAAAAGCCCGTAACAGCTGCCCAAGGTACCCTAATGGAACTTAAAAAAACAACTTGGTTTCAGTTTAGGATGTAATTTAGTAGATCTGACAGCAAAGAGGATGCAGGTGAATGGTGTCTTAGCTCACACCAGAGGCTAAATCTCATCTACTTTTGTAGGTAACTATTACAGGTAGACTGCTCCATACTATGTAATGATACTCTTCTCACTACCTCAGAATAGGTTGTTTCTAGCCCAGTGAACCAGCCATCAGCCATGCTTTTAGGTGAAGAACCCCAAGGCTGGGGTGAAGAATCTGACAGACATCCTGAGAGAAGATGAGGGACGGTCTGGAGGCTCGACTGATTGACAAGCAGCCAACTGGATGAGGTAACGAAACCATGTCTGTCTTGGCCACGTTGGAACCATCAGAATAACTCTGGCCTTGTCTTTCCTTATCTTGATCAACACCTTGGATATTAGAGGAGTTGGATAAAACATATACAATAGACCCGACATCCAGCAAAGGAGAAAGGTATCTCCCAAGGAGTGGTGGTCCAGTCCCCCCCTAAAGTAGAACTGGAAGCACTTCCTGTTTCTGGTCATGACAAACAGGTCTATCTATGGGATGCCCCAACATTGAAACATGCAGTGGAGTACAATGGGATCTCTCTCCTGCTCATGATCCCAAGAGTAGCATCCGCTGAGGCTATCTGCGGTGATGTTTTGAATGCTGGGAAGGTAAGCTGTTGAGATGCTGACATGACTTCACACACACCAATTCCAGAATCTCATGGCTTTCGCTCTCCCTTGATAGTTGATATAAAACCATGCATGACATATTGTCTATCATAATCTTCACATATTTGCCCCGCTCAACAGCATAGAATGGAGACAAGCATTTGTGATTGCCCTGAGTTCCAACAAGTTGATGTGTAGAGTTGATGTGCCCTGAGCAGTTTCTAGTAAGATGTGCTCCCCCAATCCCAACAGGGATGCATCTGTTCTTATTATGACTGTTGGAGATAGTTGAGCAAAGATGATGTTGTGAAAGTCTTTCCACTGGCCAAAGGACTTCTTCACAGCAGTAGGAACCAAGAATAGTTTGTTCAAGCTGTGTTTACTCAGCAAATAAACAGTTCTGTGCCACTCAGGGAGGCAGCACATGTGCAAACTTGCATGGCTTATCACAAAAGTACCAGCTGCCATATGCCCCAACAACTGCAGACTGTTTTTGACAGATGGCTGCGGATTGATTTGGACTATCGTAACTTAACTAGATAGGGGTGTAAACCTATGCGTTGGGAGGTAGGCGCTGGCTGCTACTGCCTGGAGATAAGCTCCTATGAACTCCAATCTTCGCACCTGTATCAAGGTGGACTTCTGAACATCTAAGTGCAGTTTCAAGTCAAGAAACAGTGCTATGGCCTTTTGAATGGCCACCGTGGTAAGAGTTCCCCTTTAGCAGCCAATTGTTGAGATATAGGAATATTAGGATTCCTCTTCTGCAAAGGTAAGCCACTATCACTGACAGAACCTTCAAACACACTCTGAAAGTGGAAGAGAAATCAAATGGACGCATTCTGTATTGAAAATGGTTTTGACCTGTAGGATGAGTGAATCACTATACGGAAATATACACCTGACTGGTTTATTTTGAATTTTTGTATCTTCACAAACCTGTTGAGAAACCAGCAAGTACCTGGAATAGAACCCCTTCCTTCTGTGTTGTACAAAACTGGTTCTAGAGCATCTAAGTTCAGAAGGAAGTCATTTCCTGTATTAGAAGATGCTCGTGAAAGGGGTATCTGAAAAGGGATGGGGGAAGGGAAGTAAAGTGGATGGAGTATCCTTCTGATATGATCTCTAAAACCCACTATTAGATCTTTGCTGACATATGAGAGTGGATTTTTCTGTTTATTTAAAAACTGGATTAGTTTTTCACTAATTAGTGAGGTGGTTCTTCTAGTAGTGTCCCTATGGGTGCTCCACTTCAACTGTGCATGTGCCCCATTGCATCTTCTATCAGAGATTTTAGGTAGCAGTGCCCGTTTGGCTCTTACATGCATTCTACGCTGCACTGTGGCTGAATAGAGCTGCGTGGGCAGACCGCCTTCAGTTTTTTCTCAGCTGCCTTGGGCTAAGATGGAGCCTCAAAAGTGTCAGAGTTGAGCTTATTTCAACTAGGTTTTTTTCATAGTTTTTATGTAACTAGCTAGTTGTAGTGATAGTAGTTAGTAATTAATAAGTTTGTTATATATGCCATCATGTGCCAGCTATGCCCCTCTGCTATGTACATTGGCCAAACTGGAGTCACTACGCAAGAGGATAAATGGACACAAGTCAGATATCAGGAATGGCAATATACAAAAACCTGTAGGAGAACACTTCAACCTCCCTGGCCACACAATAGCAGATGTAAAGGTAGCCATCTTACAGCAAAAAAACTTCAGGACCAGACTCCAAAGAGAAACTGCTGAGCTCCAGTTCATTTGCAAATTTGACACCATCAGATCAGGATTAAACAAAGACTGTGAATGGCTATCCAGCTACAGAAGCAGTTTCTCCTCCCTTGGTGTTCACACCTCAACTGCTAGCAGAGCACCTCACCCTCCCTGATTGAGCTAACCTCGTTATCTCCATACTGATTCATACCTGCCTCTGGAAATTTCCATTACTTGCATCTGAAGAAGTGAGGTTCTTACCCACGAAAGCTTATGCTCCCAATACTTCTGTTAGTCTTAAAGGTGCCACAGGACCCTCTGTTGCTTTTTACAGATTCAGACTAACACGGCTACCCCTCTGATGCTTAAAATTAGTCTCTCTGCTCTGGTGGCAGATGCTCAATAAACAAATTGAAGTCTGTGTAGTTGGTGTGATTATATTTTGCTATCAACACTTGATAGTGATTTTAAATAGAGTTGCAGTCAAATATGATTTGCAACCTAATAACTCAAGACGCTTCTGATCTTTGTCATATGGCACTGATTTAGAATGGTGCTGCCTTCCACGGTCACATACAGCCTCGACAACTAGGGAGTTAGGAGAGAGATGAGAAAAAACTCCAAATCTTCAGATGGAACCTAATATTTCTTACAGGTGGATGGTATTGTCGCTGGGGTATGCCAGATTACTTTTGCAGGAGTCAGCAGAGCCTCATTAATAGGTGCAGTTCGGGCAGATGATGCTGTATGCAGAATATCTAGCAGTTTACGTTGTGATTCCTTAGCCTCCTCAAGTTGTATTTGTAAGGAGTCTGCTATCCTTTCAATGAGCTCCTGGAACTGTTTGAAGTCATCAGCCTGGGATGGTGAAGGAATCATAACTGCTTTATCTGGGGATGAAGAGGAGATGTTGTTAGCAGGGTGACCTTGTTGCCTGCTCTCGCCTCCTGCTCCTCAAAAGTCTCTCCTTGTGGTTCAGAACTTCAAGAGAGGATGGGGGAGATTGTTTAGCCTTATCATGGCGATGAGTGATGCTAGGGGTCCTAGAGAATTTTTGGCAATATACCACCAATTGATCCCATTACAGCAATTGAGTGGGCCCATCCACGAGTGCTCATACCACCAGGATGGAGCTTGAGGCTGCCTCTCAAATATGTTCCACCTCCCTAGCAGTCTCCAGAAAAATACTCCTCTGATAGTGAGGAGGGAAAACCTGAACCAGAATTTAAGAAACCAATGAGAAATCCCCAATATCATCATCTTCAACATCACTTTGTAGGTGGCAGCACCAGTAGAAAAAAAAGTGGTGACTCTGTCGGTACTGGGTGAATATCTGGAGACTTCGAGGTCCTCAGTACTGAACAAAGGGGAGTCAGGCATCTCTGTCACTGTGAGGGGTTGTGAAAATTTAACCTCCTGCAGTATCAACATGGTAGTCAGTACTGAGGTGACTGTAGCCTGAGCAGAGGTGATTATGGTAGAGGGAGCAAACGGTACTGTAGGCTTTATGCACTCCAAGGAATGACCACTAGATGCTAGTCGGGTCTTCTGCAGTAATGAAATGGGAGGTACCAAGAACCTGGCTGATTCTTTGAGTACTAACTTAGAAGAGATAGTCTTCTCCTTGTCGTCTCAATCTCCTGATAGTACCAATGGTGTGCTGGAACCCTTAGATTCTTTGGGTTTAGTGGTGGTAACAGTACCTGAGGAACCTGCAGTCTCGTGGGTACTGAGTCAGGAACCAGCAGGTGCAAAAGTACAGTAGTTGTCTCAATCGGCAACCAGTGCTTCCTTGAAGTAGATTCCCTATCTGGGGAACCCGAGCTCCTTTTCCCAGAGTCTTTTTGAGAGGCTTCTTGAGTTTTCCCTCCTAGAAGTTCTAAGGGAATGTTACGTCAAAGTGGTTGAAGAGCTCAACTTGCTTGGAGACCAGTGTATGGAGGGGGTCTCCTAGCCTGGTTCAGAAACTAGACGACACAGCTCTCCATCACAAGGCAGCGCAATTTAATCTCCAGGTTCTTTCTGGCTCTTGATTTTAATGCCAGGCAAAAATTACACTTCTGGGGGATGTGTGACTTCCCAAGGCAATGGATGCACTGGGAGTGCCCATCGCTCACCAGGATAGCCTCCCGGCATGAAAGCCAATGTTTAAAGCCTGAAGAGCGGGGCATACCCTCTCAGCAACCTAAAGTTCCGTGCAGGGGAAAAAAAACCTGAAACGACAACAGTCAATAAATAATAATGATAATTATTATTAGTAGTAGTAATTACTAACTACTATCACTACAACTAGCTAGCTACATAAAAACTATGAAAAAAACCTAGTTGAAATAAGCTCAACTCTGACACTTTTGAGGCTCCATCTTAGCCCAAGGCAGCTGAGAAAAAAAATGAAGGCAGTCTGCCCACGCAGCTCTATTCAGCCACAGTGCAGAGTAGAATGCATGTAAGGGCCAAACGGGCACTGCTACCTAAAATCTCTGATAGAAGATGCAATGGGGCACATGCACAGTTGAAGTGGAGCACCCATAGGGACACTACTAGAAGAACCACCTCACTAATTTTCACTAATTAGTGAAAAACTAATCCAGTTTTTAAACAAACAAAAATCCAGTCTCATATGTCAAAGATCTAATAGTAAGAGATTAATATATTTTGTAAAAGTAGTGTACATTTACTGTTGGACTACGAAGTATTATAATTGTAACTGAACTACATTTGTCAAAATGAGTCAAATATATTTTTCAATGCTGTAACCTTAATTCTTTAAATCATGGTTAATCTATTTACGCAGTTCACAAAATCTGGTAACCCACAATTGCCCAGTTGTGAATAGCAATTAAGCATGGTTCTACAGTACTTTAGAAACAGTATATTTAGAAACTAACAGAACCTTTCGTTCTTGTGTTGCATCTAATACTTCTTTTGTCCTAATAATTAGCTGGTCCTTATCTTTGATCTCTTGTTCCAAAACTGCAACTCGTGTTTGTAGCTGATTAATGTGTTTCTCTTTTTCATGGCATTCAGCATCCAGCGTAGTATTCTCCCGACGCAACGACAACACTTCTTGCTTTGCTCTCTGGCACTCCTAGAACATTTGGAAAAAATATTTAAAACAAAAACAAAAACACTGCAATACCTTAAGTTTGAATAAACATATCTAACCCTTAACCAAGGATATCAATAAGATAATAGAAATAGCTTGTAAAAATAAATACTTCAGAACCTGAAGTATGGATTCCCACAACCTGAACATTTGCTGTATTTTCACAGATTACGCTGTATCTTGTGTGAGTGTATTGATTGTGTTATCCCTATACAAATATTGATTTGAAAATACAAATGAACATTCCATACATCTTCTATCCCAGAGAGTTTTGCTTTAAGTTCTCTAATTGTGGAGTCTCCTTTGTATCTCCTTTCTGTTAGGTCCTTGTTGGCAATCTCTAGTTCTGACAATCGATTCTGTAGCTGTTGGATACTTTTCTGATGCAAGTTTTCCAATTCTTTTTTCTGTTGTTCATGTTGTTGTTGGTACTGAGTCTGCACCTATAATGAAAAGAGAAGTTGGAAAACAAAGGAAGAAATGCTTCAGTGAACCTAACCTTAAACTACTAAACGGGTACCAATATTTTTGGTTTGTTTTTCCTTCAGTTCTCATACCTGGAGAGCTTTTTCCTTCTCATTTGTCAATTCCTGAGTGTGCTTATTTGTTAGCATTGTTGTATGTGACGTCCATTCACTTCTCAACTTATCTAATTCCCGGCTCTTTTCTGACAGGCTCTGTGTTTGTTGAGACAGCATAAAGAATCTTGAAAAATGTATCATATTATACTGAACAATACTTTGCACTATATTGTGATTTTCATCCAAGGAGCTCAAAGTGCTTTACAGAATTAACTGAATTCTCACACCACCAAGTGACATACATCTCGGCTTTACAGATGGGAACCAGAGGGTCATCAAACAATGACAGAGCTGGTAAAAGAATCATAATTTCCAACCTTATGCTCTAACCACAGCATGGTATTCTCTCCTATCAAGTAAAAGTAAGAGTGAACACACTCAACAACCAGGCCACAGCACTGTAAAAACCAACGTTTCAGTATGAAAAAAAAATATACTTCTTGGTAGCATTTTTCTTTTAAATTTGCATGACAGAAGTATATAGCAGTTCCAATTCTATAAAAATTACAAAAAAAATGAATGAATGTGTTTTTAAAATGTCAACTGTCTGACAAGCCCACAGAAGGGGAAAAAAAGGAACATTAAGGCTCTATAACTCAAGAGTGACCAAAGTACAGTCTGTGTAGCTTTACTGTATGACCCACAGCTGTCATCCTCTAAAAAGGAGTGAAACCACAACAGGGCCCATCATCCATCTTAAATGGAATTTTAGAACATAAATACCAACAATTTTAATTCTATTTTTCTTTGCTTCATACATAACACAAAGTAAAGGGTTCCAAAATATCTCCATTGTGTGACACATTTCAATATAGAGACAGTCTTGTGAACTACTTATTCTCTTAAATCTGACCACATAATATTCCTATGGCAACCACAGCAGGTGCTTACGGGGGAAAGTAGTGTGTTTAGTGTGATGTTTTGACCTTTCTTCAGAACAATTCATCACACTGGCTACTTTTGAACTTCACTTCACCTCCTTCTGCCCTGCCAAAATTGGTTGTTTCTCAGCACCATGTAACCAACCAGACCTCTATTAGCCACCAGCAGTAAATGCTCCCCAGGCGACAAAATTCAAAATAAATGCACAGATATAAGATTAGATACAAAACAAGAAAAGATAATACTTTACGAAGTGGTCTATAAAAACTGGACCCTATTGAAATTCTGCAATTTGTAATATACCTTTACATGTGGTACGGTATACAGAAAATTCAGAAGACTGAACACTTATTATACCAAAGGCAGGAAGGCCTAACATCAATTACCTGCTGCGTGTAGCTCAGCTGTCTGGTAAGGTCATCTTCAGTTTTTTTAAGCTTTTGTTCCAATAACGACTTTTCTTCCTACATATAATTGACATTTTAAATCAATACAATCTTATTTGCCAATTGAAAAACATTATTTAGAATCCATATTCCATTATTTCTACATGTAAAGTCCAAAAATACATGTCCATTACGCTAATAACAAATTCTTATCAAGACAGCCTAAATACTAAATTATATATTTCATGAATCCTAAAGTAAAAACCTTTTTTCCATTGTAAAAAAGTTTGTTTTTCTTAAAATTTCCCCAAGAAAACAGGATTTTTGCACTTTAAACTATTGTTTGAAAAGAAGTTGCATTAACATCTAGATCAGGGGTCGGCAATCTTTGGCACGCAGCTCGTTAGGGTAAGCACCCTGGCAGGCTGGGCCAGTTTGTTTACCTGCCACGTCCGCAGGTTCGGCCGATCGCGGTTCGCAGTCCCAGGCCCAAGCGGCGTGGGACGAGGGATGTGCTGATCATGGCCAGTGGGAGCTCTGGCTGGGGGTGTGGGCTCTCAGGGAGGCTGGGGATGAGGGATTTGTGGTGCGGGAGGGGGCTCAGGGCTGGGGCAGGGGTGCGGGAGGGGACTCGGGCTCTGGCTGGTTGTGCGGGTTCTGGGGGAGGCCGGGGATGAGGGATTTGGGGTACAGGCTACAGCGGGGAGGAAGGACTCCCCCCTGCCCTCTCCCTGCCCGCAGCAGCTCCAAGACCAGGGCCGGAGGAGAGGCATCTCTCCCTGCTGCATGCCTGCGTGGCCCTTGATAGCCTGCTGCACAGCCGCACAGCTTAGAGGGAACTTAGACCCTAACCTAGATGTTAAGGGGAAAAATCTGTGTGAGCCTTTTCTTTTAAAAACAGTTTGTTACAAAGGCAGTTTACATTTACATTGCACTAAAATAAAAGGAGACAAAAATTACATGTGAAGAAATTAGTGAGATGTGGACTGTAGGTTAAGGATTTTTCAAACTCTGAAATCATTGTTCATTTCATAACATTATTTAAACCTGATATGCTACCAAGCACATCAATTTCACTTTCCAATCTATAAATGGCAAATGAAACCCCACTGAATTAAAGAAGGCTCTGTACTTACGCATGGGTATGCACATGCAGATCCAACAGCAGGATCAAAATCCATAACTTTACAGTATTTTACTCTTGCATTTGTACAGCGGGTCAGCACAAAGCCAGGAAGCAACCAATACTGAGAGGCTGAATTAACTCAACATTTGCATTGCCACATTAATCACATATCTAAAGTGTCTAATTTCTGCCAATTCAGATTATCAGATTTTGTTTTAAATTAGGGCCATTATTAATTGCAGTTAACGCAAGAGATTAACGCAAAACAAATTAACTAGATTTAAAAAATAGTAGCAATTAACTGATGTTTTAATCTCACTGTTAACAGAATACCAATTTAAATTTATTATAAATATTTTTGAATGTTTTTCTACATTTTCAAACATATTGGTTTCAATTGCAACACAATACAAAGTGTACAGTGCTCACTTTATATTTTTTTTATAGTGCAAATATTTGTAATAAAAAATAATATAAAGTGAGCACTGTATACTTTGTATTGTGTTGCAATTGAAACCAATATATTTGAAAATGTAGAAAAAAATCCCAAAATATTCATAATAAATTTAAATTGGTATTCTATTGTTTAATAGTGTGATTAATAGTGACTTTTTTTAAAATCTCGCAAATTGCGATTTTTTTTTATAATTTGATAGCTATTTTAAATATACATGCACCTTTGATATTTTTATCCTTAGAGAGAATGTGTATTGATTGAATTACAATATATATACCTATATAACTATCTGCAAAGCCACAACATGAACTAAAATTAACCAAAAAAAAAAAAAAAAAAAAAAAAATTAAAACAAAACCCACAACATTAAGTGTTTGGAGGATCAGGACCTAATTACAGATATTATAAATCTATAATCTTACCTTAATACATTTCAAACAGATTGCTAAAAACTTCTTTATTTCTGCATCATTTCCCGGCAGAAATTTTAGTGAGAGATGTGTAAGATGTTTAAATGGGTTTGTCTCCACTACATTTAAAAAAGCAGGTGTGTGATCTAAAACAGATGCTGAAGAAACTAATTGCAGCAAAAACCTTAAAAAACAAATGAAATAAAACCACATTTAGTATATAACATATCTTTGTTTACAAAACTATCTATAAATTGCAGGTTTTTTTTTTTCACTTTATAAAATCATCATCATCATCATCATCATCATCAAGGCACTTATCACACAACTGGATCTGTATAGTTCCAGAAGCCCCACCTGCTTGGATTAAGTTGCAGGATCAGGGCCTAAATCTTTACCAAATTAATGTTATGTTAATATAAAAGGGACTCCAATACTACAACAGTATCTTCATATAAATATCGTATAATGCTAGCACCAAAAATATTCCTGTATGCATAATAAATAAAAAAAGCCAGTGAATATGTAGTTTTTGCTTTTTCTGAGATTTTATAAAAGTGAGTCACACATGTTATACTTGAAATTGCAAATAAAAAGACCTCTAAAGATGCATGCACTTTAAAAGAACTTTGTAAAAATAAACACACTGGATAAGGGGTAACATTTTCAAAGGCACTGAAGTGAAAATTCTCATTTTCAAAAGTGACTTAGGCACTTGAAGCCTAAGTCCCATTGACTTTCCTTGGTCTTGTATTGCTTCTTGGAGTGCTTGGCTTATTGTGTGTGTATTTTGTTTAAGAATTTTTTTTAAAAAGTTAGTAATGTGGTACCAAAACATTATTTACCTTGGGGTATCTTTGTTTTGTTCCTGAATGCACTGTTGAAGTAGATCTATAAATCTTTGCGGAAAAGCAGAGAAATCTACCAAAAGACCCTGCTGGCATTTTAAACTACATAAAGAAAGAGGGGAAATACAAGTTACATTCCTATCAAATATTTTTGTTTGCACTAAGTAAATAAATATTTTACTAATTAATTCATTAAAAGTTTAACACCTATCATTTCAATTTTTAATCCAGAGTACAAAAGAAACACTGTCAAGTAGCTAATCACAATCACAAGAGGTGTCGTATTTTAATTTTGAATGTTTTGCAAATTAGCTTTCACTAAACAAAATTATGTGGGAACAAATATGTATCTTTCAAATTAGAATCTTCTTTGAGCACACTATATTGTATAGGGTTAACAACTACTTGGATAGACGTACTAAATAGGGGACTTAACAATGCAAACTCTTTGAGGCAGGAACTTTCTTTTATTCTGTGTATGTACATTAAGCCTAGCATAATGGAGTAGATATGATTGTGGCCTCTGAAAACTACTGTAATACAAATAAGTTTCGGGTTTTATTTCTCCTTTTTGACTGCCACTACATATTGATCAGAGATTTTCATTGAGCTGTCCACACTGAGGTCTTTTTCCTGAGTGATTACTATTAAATTGAGACCTAACAATGTGATGATCCAAAATATATCTTTAATTGAATGGCCCAATTCTGTGAAACCTTGCTCCTAGAAATAATCCTTTTGAGAGTATTCCAACTGAAATCCTTGCGAAATGTTCACAAACACCCAGAAAAGATTTTAGAGGTACAAAAATAGGAGGCAGTTTAGTCTAGTGGTTATGGCACTGGACTGAAACTTAGGAAACCAGGGTTCCATCATTGCCCTGGATGACTTTGGGCAAGTCACTTCACCTCTCTATGCCTCAGTTTTCCCATCTATACATGGAAGACAATGACACTATCTTCCTCGGTAGAGCACTAAGCAATCTATGGCAGAAAAATACAATAAGAGCCAAGTTCTATTTCATTGTCAAGCAGAACTTTTTTAAATTAAAAAATATCCATTCTTTATTACCATTTCTTAATGTTTCATAAAGAGCACATTAACTTGATATCTTACCTTTGAAAGTCTTCCTCAGATATAACCAGGTTATAAAGGAAAAAGGGGTCAGCATCATCAGTCAACTGCACTACTAAGTCCTAAAAATAAACATTTTTAAAGATCGTTATTTTAAACTAGTTATATTAATATATTCAGGCAGTACCCAAAAATGTTTTAACTTTCTACAGCAAATAAGACTCCTATGACCACTAATAAGAGGGAAAAAGAACATCAGTTACATTGCATTTTAGGGCAATTTCTATTTTAAATATTACAAAAGAGAAAAAAACTACCTCCCACAAAGAGATTGTAATCTCAAAGCAAGGCTGCGTTAACTTTCAGCAGCGAAGACTTCCAAAGCAAAGGTATTTATTGGACTATATTTGACTGTTCCAAGTACAAATGATAAAAATGGACTGCATTAAAAACAGAACAGAAACCAATGAATGGTAACTACAGAAAGGCCAACTAGCATGCTGCAACTCTTGGAGGTAAAGCACAGAACTCACAGGCCTGAGGGAGAGGGTTAGGATTAAACAAGTGGCTCTCAACCTTTTTTCTTTTGCGGACCCCTAAAAAATTTCAAATGGTGGTGGGGACCTCTTTGAAAATTTTGAATGGAGGTGCGGATTCCTTTGGAAATCTATTGTCTGTGCATATAGTAGAATTCTGTTCAGTCAGTTTTCAGTCTAAGTCTTTCATGGACCTCTTAGACATAGTCTGCAGACCCCCAGGAGTCTGTGGACCACAGGTTGAGAACCACTGCTTTAAACCACCTTTGCATCCTCAATTTTGGGCTGCTTGCACCCCAGAATAAGTTACATAGCCCCGGGGGCCTGTCTCTAAAATATGGCAGCTTGTCCCACATTCCTACATGCAGCAGTACAACCCAGAATCTCAGCATGCTGCAGCTTTACCACCTACACGAGGATCTGCAAGGCAGCCCTCAGAAGACAGCCTGTGACTGCTGTCTTCCTCAATTCCTGCACTGTGGGAATTCTCCCCCAGTTGGGACCAGGGCTTTTAAAGTCCCTTTATGCCGGGTAAAAGGGCCACAACAATGTAAAGGGCTGGAAAAAGGGTGAGATTTTTTTTTTTTAGCATGTCCAAGATGTTTAGAAATAACATTATGAGGCCTTTGTCTTGCAACAGGCAGAATGATGCTATGATGATGGGCTACATATGTTCAAAATATCTAGCACAGCTATCTATAAAATTACAATGTAATACATTCACCATATCATGAAGAAGTGTTTCTTTTAATTAAATAGAAAAAAGGGAATTGTGTGACATTCAGATATCTTTAAAATCAACAGTTTAGAATTCTAAATTAAGAGTCAAACATAATGAAGATGGGTCAGTGCTGGAAAAAAAAAAAAAAAAAAACGAAACTCTGTTGCTAGCAATGGGCTCTCTAAACTGTTGTGGTTATCAACCCTCAAATGCATCATATGTTACTAAGATCTATTGAAGTGTAAAACTGAGATAAAGGGCTAATAAGGCAAAGAAAACCCTAAACCAACACGTGCCAACAAACCTGAATACTAATAAACACCAGATTTGTTAAGACCCTAACCTGCTAAATGACAAATGTAGTAAAACTTCATGTTGCTTTCTCTTTACATATCAGTAAGAAGATTTTTAAAATACTTAAGGAAGAGCAAAGAAAACACCACACACCTTTTTATGAACAGGATTAGATGTTGATTGTAGCTCAATCCTTACTCGAACATTTATCCTCCTATGTAACAAATATGCAACTGTAAAGTACTATCATCAAATCAAGAACTCGTTCCTCAAACAATTATTTAAATAAATAAAAATAATGTAGCTTAAAAGGAAAATTTCGATCAAATGTCAAGAAACCATTCCTAACAATGAGGAGTAAAAGATTGTAGAATACCATCCCAAATGAAATACTGGAAGCACTGTAACTTTAATTATTATAGTTGGAGCTGGTAGCAACATCTATAATTAAGGTTACCCAATAATTCACATTATAACAACCTGTTTTCAGTTGCTTATAACTTTACCTGACTTTAAGGATTCAGGATGAAATTTCCCATGCCAGACACCTGCCTAAAGACTGATTTTTATTTATTTATTTTATAGTTTTAACAAAAATGTAGCAGCCATTTTCAAGTATGCGATTGGGGGAAAGTATATTGTTTTGCCCATATTAAAAAAATTCTTACACCAATTGCATTGAGAAGTTTTAGTGTGCCCATGCTTTGGAGCAAGGGCTTGAAATTTGACAGGGATGTACCTTTTGCCATACCTATGAAAAACTACCCCAAATTGATCAAGTTATAAGCCTCTGAAAAATTTCAATTTGTGCATGTTCAACAGAGACTTGTTAGAGTCTCCAAAATTGCTATACACAATGAGCTGGACTTTCTTTGCAATTTCTGTGGGTCCTAGTGGTGACAGGCACAAGAACAGAGAGGAGGAAGACTCAGGTGTTCCCAGTGCTCCCCATACTGGTGCCCAGGCAGCATGGAGAAGGAAGCTGTCTCACTCAGATGCAGAGGGGACTAGAGTGGGACCACGGTGGGGCAGTGGAAGTAGTCTGGGACAAAGAGCTGGTAGGGTTGCCAACTTTCTAATCACAAAACCAAACACCCTTGCCCTGCCCCTTCCCCAAGGCCCTGTCCCTGCCCCACCGTCACTCACTCCATCCCCCTTCCTTCTGTCACTTGCTCTCCCCCACCCTGACTCACTTTCACCAGTCTGGGGTAGGGGGTTGGGGTGCAGGAGGGGGTGAGTGGTCTGGCTGGGGTGAAGGCTCTGGGGGTAGGGCCAGGGATGAGTGGTTTGGGGTGCAGGAGGGGGCTCTGGGCTGTGGCCGAGGGGTTTGGGATGTGGGAGGTGGCTCAGGATTGGGGTTCAGGAGGGGGTATGATCTCCAGCTGGGGGTGTGGGGTGGGGCTGGGGGGTTTGGGGTGCAGGCTCAGGGCAGTGGTTGGGGTGCAGGAGGGGGATGTGAGGGCTCTGGGAAGGAGTGTGGGTGTGGGAGGGGGTGAGGGCTCTGGGCTCCAGCCAGGCAGCACTTACCCCAGGCGGCTCCCGGAATCGGCCAGCATATCCGGCTCCTAGGCAGAGGCACAGCCAGGCAACTATGTACACTCCCCCCACCTCGAGTTGCCGCTCCCACAGCTCCCATTGGCCATGGTTCCCAGCCAATAGGAGCTGCAGAGCCAGCACTCAGGGCAGGGGCAGTGGATGGAGCCCCCATGGCTGCCCCTGCGCCTAGGAGCTGGACATGCCGGCCGCTTCCAGAAACCACACAGAGTTAGGGCAGAAAGGGAGCCTGCCTTAGCCCCACTGCACAGCCAACTGGACTTTTAACGTCCCGGTCACCGGTGCTGACCAGAGCTGCCAGGGTCCCTTTTCAACCAGAAGTTTCAGTCAAAAACCAGACACTGGGAATATGTGAGGAGAGGGGAACCTGAGATTAGAGGAGGTACTTGGGGGAATGTGAGTTAGGGACAAGGAGCCTGGTGAGAGACTGGCATGAGGACTCCAGGCAGGGAGAGTAGGAGTCAAAATAGGGGAAAGACTGGGACTGGCTAGGAGCTGGAGAAGGAGAGAAAGCCAAAGAGCTACAGTAGCGAGGATGGGGCAGGAAGACAAGCCGGGGACATAGGCAGACGGGTCTAGGACCACTAGAGTATACTCTTCTCTAGAACCTGGATGGAACTCAAGATGCCTGAGTCTCAGGATTCTTCTGCTGTTAGCCAGTGGGTTTCATAGATATTTGCTAAGTGTCTCCCATTCACCCTCTCATGGCTGTTCCACATGGAGTATGACAACCTACTACTTTTGTAAGTTACTACTGTTAGCTCAAGTGAAACAAAAACTGTAATGTGAAGCTATAGTTTCTAACCCTGCTGATAAACCATATGGGTGTCAATGTGATTCCACATTGTGAAATTTCTGCTTTCAAGTTGTTGTTTTTAACTTGGGAAATTACACACAAAAATATACATTCTCTAGACTGAGCCTAAGTTTCTGAAATTGACTATATTTCAAATTGACAGCGTTTACTTAAGGTTGAAGCTTTAGCCTGACTTTCCCAAACACCATCAGCCAAACCTATTATTTGGCAACTCACTTGCTACATCCTACAAGGTAAGTTCTAGCTAATGGATTTGGTTCCCAACGGGTGCATTCAGAGACATCTGGTTGGGGAGGCCTCAGAAAGAGGTTCCTGGATTTTAGGATGGAAAAGCTCTGGGGAGAATAAATTCCTTCATCACCGCCCCATTCCCCAGATACCACTGTGCATGGAAACAGAGAGAAAAATAGTACTTCCGCTAAGAGCTTTAAGTAGTTGTTCTGGTTTGAATGGAATGGTGATCATGCCAAGGGTACAAGGGGATGATTCTCCAGTGAACAGAGAGACAAACTTGCAGAGAATATGTCTACAACAGTGGTTTTCAACCTGTGATCCATGGACCCCTGGGGCTCTGCAAACTATGTCTAATATTTCCAAAGAGGTCAGCACCTCCATTTGAAATTCTGTAGGGGTCTGCAAATGAAAAAGGGTTGAAAACCATAGATCTAGAGTTAATAAGAACAGTATACAGGTGGTCTGTTCTGGGCTTCCGATTGTAAACGCCTTACACGTCTGCAAGCCAAGCACTCTGCACACACTGGGACATCCTGGAAATGTCAATGCAGCAGTGCGCGCTCCTACAGCGAGCGGACAGGATTGCCCATGCTGCACTAGCTGCCCCTATTGTATGCATGTCCGAGAGACTCCATGGCAACCCCGGAAACTCCCCGCGCATTGAGCCGCTGGGTGGTGATGAGCTCCTGGCCCTGCTGCAGGCCATGGATAAACTCGCAGAGACCCGGGATTTCCCCAGGACTGTGCCACGGTGCCCGGGCTGCAGAGAAACGCTGCAGGGCTCCCCCGGCCCCTTACGGCGGGTGCTGTTTGGGGAGCCCACCCAGGTACCCTCACCTGCTCTGGGCCCCCCTTGACGGGTCCCTAGAGGCCCAGGGTGGGTTCGAGCAGCGGCAAGGCCAGAGGCCGCCCGTGTTATAGAGATGGGACGAACGCTCAGCCCCGCCGGCCTCTCACCCCAGCTCAGGGCGGCAGGCTGCAGGGGGAGGAGGCGGCCTCGGGGCCCTGCTCTGGGGTCCCGCAGGGCCGAGTCCCAGCCCAGTACAGAAAGCCTCGCTATGGCCGCGCGTCCCCGGGCCGGCTCTCACCTGTCCTCGCAGCCCTGGCACTTCACCTGCACCGGCACCAACCGGCCGAACAGACTCTCCGCCGCCATCTTGCGCTTTGAGTTTGGCGCTCGGCTCCCGCGGGGGGCGGGGCACCAAGATGGCGGCCGAGCCGGCTGCGGTCAGGAGCGGGGAGAGGCGGGCAGCTGAGCCGGCTGCGGCCGGGGGGCTCCGGGCTCCTGTGCCCGGACGGTGCGGTTACTTCGTGGAGCGGAAGAAGCGGTTCTGCAAGATGATCCCGGCTCAGGGAAGACTCTTCTGCGGGGAGCACGGACACCAGGAGGTACCGGGGCGCCGGGCACTGCCCGCTCGGCAGGCGGACCGGTCACGGAGGGATGGCTGGTTGGGCCCCTCACCTTCGGGGCTTTAGTAAGGGGTGGGGAGTCCCTCTCCTGCGGGCTCTTTTATAGCCCCCTATGGACTCGCTGGGGGAGGGGCTGGCACGTATCCCCAGAGCGAACCCCATAGAGACGGGCCATACTCGCCAGGCTTCCCCGCGGGTTGGTGAGGGCCGGGCCCAGCCCGGCCCCTGGGGCTCACCGCCCTGCTAAGCCTGGCGACGGCAGTGTCAGCGCAACCCCCGCTGCTCCGCCGGGCCCCGGGCTGTTGGAGTCAGAGCCTGCGTGCAGTGATCGCTGGCAGGGGGGGTGTCAGCCGCTCACCCAGCTCCCCAGTAGCTTCCCAGCCGGGGGAGGAGAGGGGTGTTGTCCCCCATCTCCTCTGCCAACTTTTCTGTGCTTTGAATTTTTTTGCTAAATCTGCTATGCTGTTAGTTACTCTTCGCTTCAGGATCCTCAGGTGACGTCCCCTTCTTGGAAACCTTACTAAGAAATCACTGCTGGCCTCTGCAGAGCCTGACATCGAGCTAGAACCCCAGACGGTGTAGGTAGAATAATTACTGCCTGTCACAAGGGACCAGGAATACCTGTGCGACTCTGGGCTTGGTGATGTATTAAGGCCTTCACTTGCACAATATTTCTCCATCCATCACCCAGTTAAATTGCATGGTTTATCCAACTGAAACACATTGTATTTCTCCATTTGATCTAATTCCAATAAATCGAGGCTAGCAAAGATTTTTATTTTTGTGACCCACAGACACATTTCTAGACAGATTTTTCTAAAATAAGGACATTGACCGCACCATAATTTTGTGCTAACAAAATAAACATTTTCTTTCCCACTAGGAAGAAAATGACAGGAAAAGAATTCCATGCCCTCTTGACCCAAAACAGTAAGTGTGTTTTAAATACATTCATATGTTCATTGTTAAAATTGTGACTGTCATTGCTTATTTCTTTTTCTCTGATTTTAGCACCGTATATGAAGATCAATTACAAAAGCATTTAAAAAAGTGTAATTCAAGAGAGAAGCCGAAGCCTGTAAGTGTGATGTAAATTAAATGCCATATAATTGTATATTAGAGCAGTATAAACTAAGCAGTGGCACAAATTGGAGTGGAGGAGGGTCGAACACACATGGCTTTTGCATTTGCTCAAATTTCCATAGGCCGCAGAGCCAGGGGGCAATGCCCTGACAACTTTTAAGCAGTCGCCCCATACTAGATCAGTATGGCTGCCGCTGGAGCAGCCTGGAGTGTCGCTCTGGCTGTATGGTTGCAACGCTGCTGACACTGTACAGACAGAGGGACAACAGGGCCAAATGGTGTTAAGACCTGGTGCATGGAGAGTCTGTTCCTGTATGGCAGTGCTCAGGGGAATCCTCCAAAAGCTCAACTCTTGGCATCACTGGCTTATGCACTGTGTGGGTAAGAGAGAGGGGAGACTCCAAAGCCCAAGGAGACATGGGACCAGTGGTATAGAGAATTTATCATTGACTCAAATCAGAGAGAGAATTTATCATTGACAAATCAGAGAGTAATAGTCCTTATAGAGAGCCTAATAATAGGGAGAAACTGAAGCTATCTAAGTGCTGGATTAAATGAATTGATGCCCGATGCTGTATGCATGCTTCCAGTGTATGTAAATTTGTGATCTTACTTTCTGATAATTTTTTTGGCCAGGAATGGAAGTGCTGTCCAGGCACTCGCATTGAACTAGCTTTCTCCAAAAATGTTCCTGGGGAGCATTGCCTCACCAGGCCCCTAGAATTAATGATTTATAACCTGCTGTGAATGGATCTTGTATATTCTGTTGAGTATTGGGGTTGATGTGTCCCCTTTCAGATTATGTTAGCTGAACTTGATGCACATACAACAACCAAAAATATGAAGTCAGCTCTACTCTTATATTTATTATCCCTGAATAATAATGTTGACTGAGGCATTCCCCCCCCCATACCCTGTCATGAAATTAAATATCTTCCTTTCTGGTATGTGCTAAGAAGGCAGCTTGTTTTTTTTAACGAAAGAGTCTACCATATGTTAAAAGCCTTGCTTGATTTCCTTGTATAGCTACATGATGTAAGTGGCTTTTGCCCATATTTGAGAACTGGATTCAGATATATATTCAGTGATCCAAATGCCAGTGTACTGCAGTGTACTTCTTTCTGATGAATACTGTGCTGCCAACGCATCTGTTTGACTATATAAAGCGGGAAGCCGCGGCCAGTACATCGCTCGCCCGCGCCGCTTCTCGCCGCCCCCATTGGCCCGGGACGGCGAACCGCGGCCAGTGGGGGCCGCGATCGGCCGAACTTGCCGCGTCAGCAGGTAAATAAAACTGGCCCGGCCCGTCAGGGTGCTTACCCTGGCGAGCCGTGTGCCGAACGTTGCTGACCCCTGATATAAAGCTTAAAATATTCCTGTATATATGAAATGTCAGTAATCAGGAAGCTTAAAGAATAACTGCTTGAAAGAGAAATTCCTTTGATTATTGATTCTTATAGTACAAATAAGATGCAAAGTGCTAGTACAAGACAGGACTCAGCCTTGCAAAAGTATTACTACTGTAGTGCTTGCTATGGTGCTTAGTCCCATTGAAATCTATCAGACTAATCACCCTAGTAAGCAGTACACCTATTGGAGAGTGTTTGCAGAGTTGGGCCCTAAAACAGTGAGAGAGAGAGAGAGAGAGAGAGAGAGAGAGAATCTTTTCTCAGAACTACGTTCTTCATTTGTAATTATTTGACTTTTGCTAGGTGAATTATTGTCAACACACTCTGAAGCATTCTTTTGCTTTACATGCTGTTCTGTCTTTATTAGAATCTCCTTGGTTTTCATGCTGTTTTTATTTTTTTTTATTAAGGCCTACTTTGTTCAAGATATTAATGCAGGATTAAAAGATGCAACAGAAATACTTGACGAACAGGTGAGTCCATTTCTCTGTTATTTTAAGGAACAAATAGTTAAAAAAGGAGGAGAACCTTTTTGTTTTTTGTATTTTTTTTCCCAGCAGTTACCAATTTCTTCCCTGTCTAAAGAAGAGTTAGAGGACTTGATTAAAAAGCTGAAAAAAGCAAGTAATGGTGAGTCTGCTTAATTTTGAAATATTTTAAATTGCTTTCTCCAGAATTAATCAAATACTTCATGGCTATTTTAGTGTTAAATATCTTCCAGGATTAAAAAAAGAAAAGAGATTAATAGGAGTACTTATTTTTGTCACTTGTCGTGATCTGAAATTGAAATCTTGTAACGGTTAAAGAACTACCTACATGACACTGTTAGTTAGTATTTTTTCCTCATCTCAGTCTTGTTTGTTCTTTTGAATAAAAGTTAATTTTGTTTTTAATGAAATTAATGACTTTTGTTTTACATTCTTCTTTGTGCACCATGATTAGGTGGTGACATTACAGCTCTGGGAAAAGCATTTGTTAGAAAACGGTTGCTTCTGACCCATTAGAGAGCAATTATGCTTGTGTTGTAGATCAGTGGTTCTCAACCAGGGGTCCAGGACCCTTGGGGGCCATGAACAGGTTTCAGGGGGTCCGCCAAGCAGGGCCAGTGTTAAACTCACTGGGGCCCAGGGCAGAAAGCCGAAGTCCTGAACCCTGACACCTGGTGCTGAAGTTGAAGCCTGAGCAACTTAGTTTTGCAGGGCCCCCTGTGGTGTGAGGTCCTGGGCAACAGCCTTGCTTGCTACCCCCTAACGCCAGCTCTGGCTTTTATATGCAGAAAAATGTTGTTGCGGCACAGTTGGGCCATTGAGTTTTTATAACATGTTGGGGGCACCTCAGAAAGAAAAAGGTTGAGAACTCCTGTTGTAGATTATTTTGTTGATGGCAGAAGATAGGGAAATTTTCATATGTTGGATTAAAAACAAAAATACATGTTTGGAGTTTGAAGAACATTACCTATAAGATTATCACAATTTTTAGGTGTCAACTTGTGGACTTAAACTATTTGATAGTGTCCCTTTTACTTGTTTCCAATAGTCAGTATGCTAACTCTGTAAAGTCTTCAGAGTCAAATATTTTGCATACTAAGTACTGTATGCAGTCACTTCAATATGCAGGTGGGAGCTAGATTGATGTTAGGTGGCCTTTTTAATTGAATCTATGAAGAGTACTTCTGCATTTGATGCAGGTATAAAGCCAATACTTAAGGATCAAATGCTGTCCCATCAGGCCTTACAAGAAGCCTTAAATGACCCAAAGAATGGAGAGTCTGCTTTCAAGCACTTGAAACAACAGGTATGGCCATTTCCTTACTAATAGCTATGGTGGTCTTTACTGTAGTTTTTTCTTCTTATGGATTCCAGCTAATCCATACTACAGTTATTTCACGTAAAAGAAACTTGTAACAGTTCCAGATTGTACCCATGCTACCAGTTTAAGTATTAGTCTATTGATAGTACACTCCTGTTTATTCAAATGGACTGCGGGGGGCATTAGAAAGTTTCAGATAAACCGGCGGTCAGATAAACAGAAGTGCTATTAACTAACTTAGGGCTACATGGAGGACACAGTGTGGATTCAGTTCCCTTTATCCAAAAATCCTAGTTACCTGGACTATATCGACCCCCTACATTGTCCATAACTGCTTTGAAATTATAAGTGTTAGTAACAGAAGTTTATTTTGATCCTGAAATACCTAACAAGCTTGTCTTCTCATTCATGAGCCTAGATTATCCCCTCTCATGGAAAATGTATGAGGTTATAAAA